AAAGGAGGCGTGAATTGAAGGGGCACATTTGCCTTTGTGACGGAGAATACCCTGAATCCTTCACAAGGAAAGGATTTAGAAGGACGTCTGCATTTGGTTTCACCTTCTTTCCGTGTTCCACAGACAAGGTGTTAACAACTGGAGCAATACCACCGTGAACTATCTGGAAAATTGTAGTGTCGCAGTTTCCCGCACAAAATCTGTGTTTAGGTGTCAGAAATGACACTACGGTTCCCCTTACATAAGGGACAGTGGCTCATCCCGTTTTCCCTGTAACATATTTGTTTTAGACCAGAGTACCACTGTCTATGCCTGGATGCAATTGAAGCTGCCGAGGAGACCAGGTACGGTTCCATAGTCTCATGCTGTCTGTCGACTGGAGCGGTTGGCTCGTGGGTGCTTTCTTGTAGTACCGAATATGTTGTGAAGACTGGTGCAGAAGGTGTACCAAGCGAAGCGCCGAGTATGTAGCTCAAAAGCAGTGGCAAAGTAATACTTTCTTTATGTGACTACATGACGTTTGGCGGTCACTTTAGGATGTCTGGCCCTTGTACACGTGGGCCATGCTCACGCCCATTTGTCTTGTCGTCTTCATAATACATGTATCCAGCTGCATTTACGGACTTCTTATTCCGATCAGGAGGTCTCGGAAAGCTCCAACTATAGCATCAAAACTTGTTTTCTTCAACCCTTAACTTGTTGGGTCTTCATTAGGTTTCCCTGAATTATGTATACTGCATTAATTCACCTTTCACCTCTCATATTATGCCTCAACATTTAAGTGGAGCACAAAATACGGAAAAGTCTTTGGAATGGTATTAATCACTAATAGTTAGAGTCACTCCAAAAATTTTGAAATGTTATTTGATCTAAAATCGGACATTTTTTATTAATTCTATTGAAAATTTTGAACTTACCTTACTCTTTCAATGCTGGAGTCAGTTATGTTCAACAGAACTAGATGTATTTTATTGCTTAAGATTGCCGACTATTAGCAAGTTATGCTGTTCAATTGATTGGCTGATTCCTGATCTTGTCACAGACCTTTGTTTAGTGTACTTAACTGTAGTGCGGCTGTTTTAAGTGTATGTTGCACAGATGTTGCGAGCTTTTTACAGACGTATTCTGAGAAGACCTTCGGTCATGTTTACAACGGCAGTCGTCTCTGCTTTTCTATTTGAGCGTGTTATTGATAAGGGTGTTGATAACCTCTTTTTATACATTAATAGAGGAGTAAGTCAAAACAACTCTACTCAATCCTTGTACCAGAAACTCTTTGAGGACATTCGTCCAGATAAAGCGGTGTGAATGCGAATGCCGATTTAGCCTCTGAGCAGTTCGGAACAATAATTCAGACATCAACTTTTGGTAAACATTTCCTACAACCAGTGCCATTTTGTGACATTGTCAGTTCTGACACCTTGACCTTGATTACACTAATATAGACTTCTGGCATACTACGTCTCTCTTCCATCCCTGCTCTAATGAGCTCGCATTATACCATGTTTGCTTATCGCCCGTGAGTAGCGCTAGCTGTCGTGCGTGCCGCTGGAGTGGAAAGTTTTGGCATCCTACTCTTCTACCTTTCTTGACTTCTGCTATAGTGCTGTTCATTCGTTTGGTATCTTTGTTTACAATCCATTAAGGAGATTAAGATGTCAGCTCCCCTCACCAGATTTCAACTTGTTCTCGGCGGTCTTTGTATCCTTCCTCCGGCTCTGTCGTCTCTATTGTGATAGAGACAAATTATTTAGATGAAAACTTCTTTAACGTAGCGCTACCAAAACTCGGTCGTGTGCGAGGGGAACCGGACCTGCCCATCGTCACTAATACAAGTGCAAGGATGTTCATAATCGTTGCAAGGAACTGATGGCCTCTTAAAATGGATGTCAAGCTGAAGGCACAAAAGGCGAGAAGGCACCTACTCCGGCCGTCCTTGAAGCCCCTCATTGAAAGGTTCGTACTCCAACTCCGAAGGAGGAAAAGCGTCACTGCCCCCCATGCTAATCGGGACCGCGAGGTGCGTTACCCACTGCCCTAAGAGGTCAATAATCAGCTTCTATTTTTTATAGTATTAGATTAAAGTGATTTCATTTGCACAGCGATGAAGAAACAGTCACCGAAATTCTGGGCTACGAGTTGCCCCAGATTAAGCCTCACGCCTTTAAGGTGACGGTTTACCGAAACACTTGATTGGAAGTCACTCATATTATTAAGATAAGGGATTTTCTTGACAGGCCTGCAACTCGGAACTGCTCGTAATGCGGTGTCCCAAGCCTTAGCAGTTCTGGTAGGCCACTAGCAAATTACGGGACGAATAAGGCGCAGAAATGGCCGGACAAACATGTAATCATTGGCGAGCGGAATACGAACTGAGAGGTTTGCATCGCCGTACCCGAAACCTTCTAAATATGATAATCATTGCAACTAAGTGTCGACATTTGCCTTCGATTTTTTGGGGTCTCACATTAACACTACTTACCTCCAGACAAAGAATGGATGAGAAGTCGAGCTGATCCGCTTAAAATTTTAAATAAATGTGTTCCTTTAGCGCTTAAACATATCGGGACGAAATGCATTGCAAACAACATAAAGAATTAGAATTCAGAACTAAAGTAGTACTGGATTCCATGGTAGTTTTTATTCGAGCATTTCGTTCCAAACTAAGGGGTACCAAAAAGCAATTCATCGGGAACGTTGGATCTGCCAATAATCCGTTACTGCTTATTCTGAGAAGTCATCGAGGGAATTTCTTTGATCTTAGATGCGTAAAACTGCAAAAATGGCAGAGTTGGTAAGACCATAAAGATTTCAGAGAGATTCACCCATTCTATGCACAACCCACAAAGTGTGTCCTCGCAAAAGTCGAATGATCAAAGAAATAGTGAATTTAAAAGTTACACAGTCGATTAATCAAAGGGAGAAAGACTCGCGAAACATGAAGGAGGAGGTGAATGCATACTTTGAGTGATAAATGCTAGACAGACGAATTAGCATTGCTTGCGTCGGATGAAGTTGTGGTGGTCTCAGAGGCTTCACTCCGGCCCGCACTACCACCATCGGCAGAACTTACCTCCTCAATGTCAGCTCCAGGCATAGGAACGAGGAGATTCTGTTTATTCATTAGATTGTACTTCAGCACAAAAACAGTAAAGCGCTGACACAGAGCAGTTTTCTCCTGGCAGAAAATCAAAATGATTAGTGGAAACATTAGAAGTGGTAGAAAACGGTGAGAAACTCACTTCGAACTGATCGAAAAGGCCGCGATGATGGTAGTAGGCATGTGAAAAGATCCGATACACACGACGACAAACGGAACTCAATTTGGCCAGAGATGAATCTCTTATAGTGACTCGGCTGGGGAAGTATTTACTACTGTTTAGCAAGCAAGCCGCTCCATCCAATGTATGACGTGTGTAATTGATAGCTGGACACTCTTTTGGAGTCTTGTGAGCAGCACACAAGAAGATCCACTGCTCCGTCGCTGTCATCTGAGCACAGGTTTCAGGAGTGCAATGGTCCTGAAGTAGGACAGCCAAACCGTTAAGTTCCATGCAAAACTGGCGCAGATGTTCGTACTTCCACACACCAAGGTCTTGACCCTGTGGCTCGGTTAAAATAGCATCAACATTCCGGAAGTCCTTTCGAATCATTTGCTGGATGATCTATGTGAAACGGTAATGAAAGTCTGAGGAAGGATAGTACCTGCTGCACAGCAAGAACTGTGTCAACTTCGTCAAAGACCTCATCAGGCCATTGACACCACTCCTGGATGAGAATGAATTTAGATCTAACAAGGCTACCTCAATCTTTGTACCCGGTCGATTACGGCGAATAACTTCAGCACTCGACGACATCACCAGCAAACAACCCCTATGCCACAGAGAACAGCAGATTTAAAGTATCGCGCCCAATGCAAAATGAGAGAGAAACATAAAAGTTGCGCAATGACGCCAATCGTAGCCCAAAACTCAAGCGCATTAAGATAAAGCGAAATTGTCAATAAATAAATGAGCCTAAATTGTAGCTGTGAACAACGGGTGATATTAATAGACCAATTCTAGTTGTGTCTGTTAGAAAGCACAGGTTAATTACATACAGATGAATTAATCGAATTAGTTTACCAAAGCGCATATCTACATATAATTTATTATCTAAAAATAAACGTATTATTACCTATACTTTCTCGCTAAAGATAACCTGGTAAAGCAAAGCAATGTTATCAATCGAAATTGAGGTGTCTAAGCCTATTTAAAAGGTTATTGCCATTACCTTAAATTTCTTCGCAAAACATATAACACGCTAAAAACGAATCTTAGAGAAATTCGAAAACCATATTTTATCAGCATTTATTGTGTTTAGGCCTGTAATTATTTTGACAATATTATCTTTAACATGTAGCTCTTAGTATTTGTCGTAACCGCGCTATCGGAATTTAAGATGGTGCTCCTTACAGCTGGAGCTATAGATGTATGTGTTATTTTGATAATTATTGTATTTAGAAAATAAATTCTGGGGACAGCATAAAGGATCCCATTCTCAAAGTAGAGGTAAGTCGTCTGCTCTTGACTTTGTCGTAGGGTTATAAAAATGTCCCTGGTAGTAACGCTGGACAAAATCGGTATCGTTTGCTACTTAGTGACGGCGTGAAGTCTCATTCATGTGAGTTCTTATGGTACTATGTATGCTTTCCTAGTCGCTATGCTTGCTACACAGTTGAATCATCTTGTTGAAGCCGGGAAACTCTTGAATGGAAGTATAATTCGCTTAAAGAAATTTGTATGCAACAATGTTCAAAAGGACAAGTGAGTCCACGTTATACGAATGCATTTTGTAGGTACGTTGTCATCGTTCTCGATGTAGACATAATCGGATTCGAGCAACCAACAGTTGCACAAGGTGAAGTGTTGGTACAATGTTTTATCAGTAATATTACCATATCAGGTCGTGTACCGCTGAATCAAGTTGAAGAGAACTCATCCATGGGGTCAGGCGTCTCGTCCTTATCGAATCGCAGTGTTCCGATTACTCCGCCGCGGTCGACTGGAGGGCCATTTACATCTGCCAGCCCTGGCACTCCTGGAGGTCGAGTTTTTAGTATACAGAGCCTTAATCCCTATCAGAGTCGTTGGACGATTCGCGCGCGTGTCTCTCAAAAGGGCACCATTCGTACCTGGCAGAGGAATGGTCGGGAAGGCAAACTTTTCAGTTTTACTCTTCTTGATTCAACTGGAGAAATTAGAGTGACTGCTTTCAACTCTGAGGTGGACAAATTCTATGACTCGGTTGAGGTTAATAAGGTCTACTACGTTAGTAAGGCCTCTCTAAAGCCTGCCAATAAGCAGTTTAATACCACGAACAATGACTATGAAATGACTCTCAACACTGATAGCCAAATCGTCGCTTGTGAAGACGGTGAAGATGTCTGCGTACCTTCTTTCTCTTTCAATTTCGTTCCCATTGGCAAGCTTGATAGTTATCAACCGGGTGATTTTGTTGACATAGTCGGAGTGGTCCATGATTCTGGCGATGTCTCTACTGTCAACATAAAGTCGTCCCAGCGGGAAGTTCAGAAACGAGAAGTGAGTTTGGTGGACGATTCCGGGTGTCTTGTGCGTCTCACACTCTGGGGCCAGGAGGCAGTCAACTTTGATGGTTCGAATCATCCCGCATTGGTGGTTAAATCAGCAAAACTGAGTGACTTTAATGGGAGATCGTTGGGCACCACGGTGCAATCCTCTGTGATGGTCGCACCGACTGACATCCCCGAGGCGAATCGATTGAAAGGCTGGTATGAGAATGGCGGAGGAAGTACGTCCAACTTTGAGACATATCGTGGAGAGGCGATAGGCGAGCCTGGTGGTGAGGGCTTCATTGGTGCTCTGGCACCGCGAGAACTGAACTTCCTGTCCGACCTTGAAGTGCCTGGGGTGGGTGGTCAGATCAAGGCGGATTTTTTCACTTGCAAGGTAAATTGTACTGATTGCTTTAAGGCTATTCTCGAGTTATTTTTGGTAAATGTTTGATATTCTTTGGTAACCAGTGCATCGGGCAAGATGTTGTTCGGTTATTTTGCTGACTTTTCGTGGAAGGAGTTACACTTTTTTACTTTTTCATAGGTTGTATGTGGATATTTCAGTCTTACTGTTGCCACTTTTACACTAGGAGTGAGATCAGCATAGATGGGGACATTTAATAGTTCTCTAACTAATGTAGTCTTACTGTAGGCGGCGGTGACCTTCCTGAAGAAAGAGAACTTCATGTACCAGTCGTGCACTACCGAGGGCTGCCAAAAGAAGGTTTTAGATTTAGGCAATGGACTCTATCGGTGTGAGAAGTGCAGCCGCGAGACACCCACTTACAAGTGGCGACTTCTGCTCTCCGTGAGTTTCTTTGTTACTAAACTCAGTTTACCAAACTATGACATCTCGTGGACCCTCGTGTTATTTTTGCCTGTTAACCCAATACGGAAAAGTAAATGTAACCTAGCTGCAAAATGCGGTGGTTGTGGTCTCGGTTCTTATTTTGTGAATGGCTTTTGCAGTGGATGTTTTCTTGCTCCTCCTGCTCTAGTCACATTGGTTTTGAGTAGTTGTGGCTTCTAGTGCATTTTTTTACTCTGCGTTGATGTAGGTGTAACCGAGTCTAACTTCATAGCTGTAATGATGCAATCCATGTATCGTCACTGCTGTTATTAGGCGTTCGTTCCAGTCTGTAATCCGTTTACATATACGTTGGCATGGCCCTTTAGATTTTTGATGACTAGTTTGCCTTTTACGCTGGTTCTACTGCTACTGAACTGCTGAAGTTGTAGGCATTTCGGTGGTGACTTATCTGTTGTCACCGATGTGAAAGGATAGTTTAAATCCCAACTTGTGGCTTACCATTTGTGTACTCATAGTTGTTCAGATGGAGGTTCACGACTCATGCTGTGCCCATTAACTTCAAATGTACTTTGCTAATATTCACCCCGAATATTTTAAGTCTGTTCATAGGAAGGAGAAATCTAGTGGCTGATGTTTGATCGACTCTTGCCACCTGTGCGCAAGGCAAATGGGGTCGGTCAGAAGTAATTGATAGATTACTTCACCAGGTGTGCTAAAAAGTTTGTTTTTTAATTGACTCCGTTAAGGTGAAAATCTCTGATATGACAGGTGAACATTGGATTACGTGTTTCCAAAACACGGCGGAAGTTATTCTTGGTCGAAGTGCCGAAGAATTAGGCGCTATTAAGGAGTCTAAGGTAATTATCTCTCGTACTATGTTTTTCGCTCCTCATCTATCCTAACTCTTGTGGTCAGGATGAAAATCAAATGGAGAACGTCTTTGTAAATGCCATATTTAAATCATGGATCTTTCGACTCCGAGCCAAAGTGGACACATTCAACGTGAGTAGGGTGGCCTGTATTATTGAGCCGCTTTCCTTCTCTCCTTAGTGATGAAAAGGAGACATGTAGTGATTCGCTTTGCTTCAGGATGAGTCGAGGTTACGAGTGGTGGCCATTGAAGCGAAGCCAGTAAATTTTGCGGACTACGGGAGGCAATTACAGAAAAGGATCGATGCCATCATCCCAACACTTCCTGCCGAGTTGACAATGGATGATGCAATGGAATGATTATAAAATTTAAGATTTGTTATGTGTGAATTTGAATTTTTAAGTGAAAAATCAGAAGTGAATACAAAGTAAATTAATTTTTTTCCGCAACGAACTTCTTGATACTGTGAATGGATAGTTGAGATATTACCTCAGAGGTGTAGAACGCTAAATCGGATTTATCCTTAAGCAGGCGAATCGGGTCTCTTTTGCGTCTTCGCTTTAACAGTTGACAATCCTCAGACTTCTTAGTCTTCAGTTTCTAAGGAAGAGGCGGTAATTTGCATTCGTCAAATGCAGGTCTTACCTCTATGTCGCGTTTTAGCACGTTGGAGTGAAGAATTTTCATTCTGAGTTCGGCGCAGGCGGCCTTCATCTCTGTTTCTTTCAAATGATTAATCCTGTAGCTGGCATTGACATCTTTCGCAAGTTTTAGAGTTCTTTCACTAAAGGGGAAGGGGTGAGGCGTCAAACCGATTGTGTTTGGTAGGCGTACCTCCTTTCCTTCATCGTGGCATCCAGTTGTGTGACGAGATCATCCACGGTGGTGAAGATTTCATTGCTTTCACGAAGTTCGGTTTCCTTTTTGGCGATAGCGGAGATAAGGTGCTTTTCTCCTTTTAAGAGCTGTTTCAGACTTGGGTCGGTGCCTTTGAGGAAGCGCAAACGATTGGTGGAGTTTCCACCTGTGGGATTATCAGCTAGGTCTTCCAGGTGAAGCAGTTTTTCCCGAGCCGCTGAAATCTGGCAAAGATAAGGTCTCGGCCTTCAACCGACCAGATATCCCAAAAGTGAGCGTCGTTAAAGTAACGAACCTGATGGTTAATGTTGCTTAACTCCCTCTCCACAACCTCATTCTCTGTCACCCTCGATCGGATAACCTCCACTGTCCTTTCTTCAGCCTGACTTGTATGGAGAAGTAGTGCAAGTTCACGATTCTTTGCTGATAGGGCATCCCGTGCTTTTTTGCTCTTCTTTTGTAGCTCTTCGAGGTTTTCCTAGGCAGTTAGGAACGAATTGCAGAGATACTTACTTTGTTTCGCCCCACTTTCAATTGGATATCCTCCAACTGGTGCTTGACACCATTGCGTTTTTGGACAGCTGCTTTGCATTCGCTTTGGAGTCGACCGATCTGTGCTTTTTCATCGACTAAGTCTCGATTCAATCGCTGTAGGTTTGTGCTGAACCTCCTTATGTGGGATTCGAGTTGTTGATTCATCTGAGTCTAAAGGAGCATTTTAAGATGCATTAGGCTCCAATGGGTGGCTACGAGAGGACTGCTTTTGGAGGTTTACCTGTTTCGATAGCTCGCTCCGAATCCCAATTCGTTCTTTTCTAATACCTTCCATGCGTTTTCTGATCTCGTCCATTTGATCTTGTTTATTTGACAGACTTGATTGGAGAATTGTCATTTCATTAGTGTAGAAGTAGCACTTTTCCTCAATCATCAATTTCTTCTGTTGGGCCAAGTTAATCATGGTGAGGAATTCATTTCTCTCAACACTTATCGCTTTGTAGAACTTTCCTAAGTTTTGCACTTGTCGCTAAAATTGCATTTCATTAGGAAAGTTGAATTTTAATTATTGCCAATCATACGCTATGAACAACACACCAATCAGACCTGAAGTGAAACCAGAGTCTTTCGATAATCGTTGAGATGGAATTGCTGAAGTTTAATGTCTCTTCTCACTTGCGTGTAGTGTAAGTGAGCCTTTCGAAGGTAGCGCTTCTTCTGAGAGGCCTCAAAAGACTTTGCATCAACTAGGCGGCGAAGGTCTGTCATATTTTGCCTTTGCTTGTCCATCTCAGTCAGAAGCTTGGTTGTATCCTTCATTACGCCTCGAATTTCCTCTTTTTCATGGTCTGCGAAGTCGTTCTAGAAAAAAAACAGTTGACTGCTTAAGAAAGGATCTAAATTCACGGAATAGTAAGTGATCTTTACATTACTTGAGCAAGAAGGGCCTCCGTCATCTGTGAAATTTGTGTCCTCAGTCTTTTGCTTTCTTTCACATCCCTTTTAGAAGCCGTCCTTTTCATCAACTCCAGGTCTGCTGCTTGTACTTTTGCTGTCCCTTCAAGGTACTCTATTGCCTCCTCAAGGTGTTTAATTTTCTTCTCTCCTTGTCTTACTAGTTTTCGCATTACGGCCCCTTTTTTTACTGCCTGATTGGTTGACTCAAGACACCGCTTCTTATCTTCTACCATGCGACTTAGATCCACTTCCATTATGGAGCTAGACAAGGTAGGGATTAGGAAAGAACAATAATTCCTCCCACATTGTCTCGCTAAGCTTATTTCCTTCATCACTGAGCTCCTGGTTTTTATGCTTAACAATGGATAGCTTTTCAATGACGTTTGATAGGTACTCTTGCAGGTTTTTCGTTTTCCTAGATAGTCACAAATGCTCTACACGACTAGCCTACATCGTTAGATCATTTGTTTCGGCATCAATGCTTGCTTTTGATTGCAGTAACGTTGATTGTGTTTCCGTTAACTCTTTGATTTTTTCCTCCAACGTGCGGGATATTTGCTTCAGATCTCTGAAAATAAGGCTACAAATTGTCCACATGTCTTACGATAAGTCCCATTCAAGTCGTTTTATTTCTTGCATAACTTCTTGTGACTTCAAGTGGATGGTATTGAACTCGGTCTGCACAGTACAAAACAATCTTTTAAATGGGGAAAGGAAAAAAATTTCGCAGTACAAACTAACCATTTGCAAGTTGAGAGATTTCTGGAATTGGGCCAAATCTTTGGTCAGTTGGTCTCTGCACTCGGTGGCATTGTTGAGTTGACGATGGAGGCGACGTGATTCAAGAGAGTATTTCTTTTGCTCCACAATTTCTGTGTCAATTGCGCGTTCTACACCTTTGCGTTGCAATATTAGGGCCTAAAGATTAAAGATTAATGCAGATAAACTAACCTCAGTACTTGGATAGGCAGCTGCTTCTTTGATTAATAGCTTCTTCTCTTCTTCCAAGAGGGCAATTTGATAGGTCAATACTTCAGTATTGTGGTCGGACTCCATGGCGTCATTGGAGGCTCGAATGATTTGTATGCGTAAGTTGTCTGCCTCTGAATTGAAACCGTCCGGAAACTCATCGCGACGGCGAAGGGCGCTAGCTATGCGTTTTTCTACCTCTGTAAGACCTACAAACATGTCTTCCAATTGGAGTGTATTGTTCTGAACTCTAGAAAGTGGCAATGAAGAACTCAACGCTATATTAGCAGAAGTACTTTTTTGTGAGATCCACAAGGCGATGGCATTTTTGTCGCAAATCAAGTACTTCCAAAAGCCGAATTTCTTTTTTACTTAGCAATTCGTCTAAGCACTGCAGGGCTCCCAAAGCCAATTCACCCAAATAAATGTCAATTTCTTCGGGTTCAGATTTAAACAAAGATCCCTGCACTAAATCCCTTGGCTCAGCAATGAGCACAGCATCGTCATCCATATGTCACAGCTGTAGAATTAGTGACTTTTAAATGTGCGTATTTAGAAGCAGGACATCGTGCATCAAGGGTAGAAAAGTAGGCCAAAATACACAAATAAGGAATAAAAAGCAAAGCAAAAAAATAAAAAATTTATCACATGGGCAAATAGTTATGAAAGAGATGTTTTACAAAGATTGATCTAACCCAGAAAGATAGTGTTTGCATAAAACTCTTGCAACGAAGTGTCTCAGCTTCGAAAATCACACAAACACATATGACCTTATTGTTGCGTAAAACAAATATAAATAATATATAATATAATACAGTAAAAATTGCAAATTTTTTAACGAAATTTTTATTAATCATTAAGCATGCATACAGCAAATCAAAGCAAAAACATAACTGAGCAAAAGGTCACACACATCAGCACTGGTATAATGCATAAAATCGTATTTTGTTTGTATATACGTGTATCTTTATCAAATTAAATTATTTGCGATCCATTCATATAGTTGATGTGGGGGTCCAGTCCGGTTGGTGATTGTGGCGTGATTTGCGGCTTCTCTCTGTCATTTCTGTTTCTGCCACTTTTTTATGATTTCTGGATTGTAAATAGTAATTCTTAAACATACTGCTGCTATATTACCGTCTTAAGATATGGATAATTGGCTCGTTTTCTAATCTAAGCACTTGGTTTGAGTAATGTTAATTATTGTATTCATTATTCACATTTCGTTTTTGTGTTTTGCACTGCTTATTGAGTTCCTCTCTTTCTGACTTAATTATTAGCACTTCCTCTAATTTTCAAGTTCACCTATTGTGCAGCTATCTCTACCTTAAGGTCCTATCGGTGTCTCGCTCTGTGAAAACCTCCCAATGATCTCCTGCAAGTATATTAGCAAATTATTTACCCTCCTCGCAGCTGAACATCGTTCCTTGATGTGTAGTACTGTCTCTGCAGCAAAGCAACTTGAACGGGATTGCTGGAGCTGCCTTAAACGTATTAGCTGTCAGACCTTCTTCTGTGAGTGCGGTAAAATCCAGTCGTTCAGTCCTACGTGGAACTATTTCGACTATTTTGGTTTCGCCAAACCATCAATGCGTATTAACCCAAATGAACTTTCTCGGATGAAACGCAAAATGCAAATGGCCTTCCATCCCGATAAATTTGCACGCGCCACTAAGGTCCGTTTTCAGTCCCATCGTTCTCAACTGAACTCGATCGATTGAATTTTTTAGGAGGAGCAAGAGATCGCAACTACTGTGTCCACGCAGATTAACGATGCGTACACGGTCCTTTCCAACCCAGTTACACGGGCTGAGTACATCCTAACGCTTAATGGAAGCCCATGCTCATCTGATGATGTTGCTATTACCGATACTGCCTTCCTCGCTGATGTTCTAGAGGTCAACGAACATGTGGACGATTTGGCTGAGATGGTTAAGACGGAGGAGTGTAAGCAGACTTTGGAACGGGTTCTTGCTGCGCTTTACGCCATCGTGATGACACGATGGGGTAAGGAAATGGATCAGTTGACCCGGTTCATCGAAGCGGCCAATTGGGAGGCCGCACACCAAGCTCTCTCGCGCCTCCGTTACTATGAGCGAATAAAGAGGCGACTGTTGGAGCTGAGGCCTGATTTCGCGATGAGAGGCATCAGGACCCCCTTTGATGGTAGGGGAGCTGACTGTGATTCGGCCTTGGGATAAGAATCTGTTACGGTTAGATCGCTTTGTTGAAGAAACATAACCCTTCACCTAGAATTGATTCTTCTTCTTTGCTTTAGTAGAAAACCTCAAGGTTTGGCGTTTAATGTAAATATGCATAATGAAATTAGAGATAAAACAAAGTCAAAAACAAGAATCAGTAGCAGTCTGTACAAGGCTATTCCACAAATGTCGGTGAAGATAGATCTGAAGCAGAGGTCAGGTCGTTGTTCCCCTTGTTGTGTTCTGAGCCGCCATTAATCGATTTAAAGTGAGGTGAAGTGCAGGTTTCTGTGGGCAGATTCTCCTCAAAGAAGGAGACGGGTTCTGCCTCATTCACTTCGTATTGGTATGGATGACTCTGTGGAGTAACATCCACATCCATATCCATTTGAACTTGATTTTCTACTCTATGTTTCACTGCCCCGTGATCGCTTAAACTACCGGTGGGATTGGGACTATCGGAGCTGGATTCCAATGGTACAAAAGCGCGAACCGGTTCGGGAATCTCGTTTTCACTGGAAGTGGCATTTATCCTTGTTATTCCCACTTCAGCAGGAAATGGTGCAACTGAGTGGTTTGGAGGGTCCAACGCAACGGGAGAATTAACACGAGAAATACCCACCAATAAGCGGTCTGTAACTCCATATTTGGAGGATTCATCACAATCGTAATCTACTTCATCGGGCAAAGGCGTAGGAATATCCATAACTTCTTTATGATGAAGCTGCACTAAACAGTGAGTTTTTGAGGACGATTCTCCGACAGGCTCAGGCTTCACGCAGTTGGTGACTTCAGTAATAGAACTTTTTAATAAGTTTACCGAACTTTTGACGTCACAAGGAGTTTGTAACAGACTCTCACATGGTGACTTAACCCCTGCACCAATATTCTGAGATATAGTGGTGCTAGAATCTCGGACTAAAGCTTGTTCCAAGGATTCATCCGCCATTGATGCCACCTTCAAAGGCACCTCAACGATCGAGTGTTCAGATTCATTATCAACCAGCACACTCTCCTCAAATATCCTATGATTAGCTTCGCTGCTTGAATGTGGAGTAACTCCCATTGAGTCTGATGGTTGGGGTGAAATTTCTTTTAATAATTCTTCATTCATAAATTCGCCAGCTATATATGCAGCTTTGGGTGATTTTACAATGATAGCACATTCCGGCTCTTCAGCAACTGCAGGACTCCACTTTCTTACGAGAGGTTCCCGATATTCGTTTCCTTCCTTATCGATATAATCTGAATGGACTTCAACGGCGCAAGATTGCATTCCTTCCGAGGGTCTCGTGTCTCCACCTGGGTTCATGTTCAATGGAATTTGTTGCGACTTTTCAGTGGCGATTTGGTCTTCGATTTCTGGTACAGATTCTCGCGAGACTATCTCCATATTATTGCAAGGGTTCAGTGAATCTTCAATAGCACAAAATCCTATTTTCATGTTTGACGCGTTTGGAAGATTTTCTTGCAAGGGAGGTGTTTGAATTTCTTTTAAGTTCGGTCCTTCCAACGCACCTTGAATGAAAGTTGCTGGAGATTCTTGAGTGACTGGGTGATCTGACACCTTGACAACTGGAGCGTCCAAACCTGCTCTATAAGAGCTTTGAGAATCTTTTAATGTTTCAGTACCGGAAGACAAATTGGCTTTAACAGTTGAATCTTTAGGAGACTCCATTGAAACTCTTATTCCATGCGCGTCCGTTAGTGATAAGGGTTTCACAGACTCTTTAAAGGAATCGACCTCAGATTCTCTGATACCAAGAATATCTGTATTTTTGAAGTTCGGTGCTTGAGCGCACTCCAATGCTCTGATACTGGGGTAGTGATTGAAAGCTGATGGCTCTGTATCCATTTCCGATGACACAGAATCATCAGGCTCCTTTAAGGCTGATGTTTGAGGAGAAGTTTCCTTTGAAAGTTTCGAACTTGGATAAGATTTTTCAATCTTATTTGTGTCCAACTTCGACGAAATATCCACCTCCGAGGTTTCTAAAAGTGCTTTATCTACAGGGAATTCTGATTCATCAGTGTCTAAATTGTGCGTTTCCGTTCTAGAAGAGATCGCTGAATTTGTCACCACATCAATGAACGTATGAGACACTTTCAATGATGCAGAATTCTGGAAAGTCTTTGATGGAAACAAAACTTGGTGAGAACTACTTTTAAATGGTCCTTGATTTGGCAACTCTGCCGCAACCTCTAGAAGAATACCTTCGCCTTCTGCACCGGCAGCCTCTTCCTCCCCCTCCACCAAACCTTTAGGAGGGCTTCCTTCTGAGGCAGAGTCCTTGGGAGACTCCTCTGAACTAGGCTCTAGATCTAATTCTAGGGGTAGAGATTCATCCAAAGTTCCGTCCGCTCTCCCGATCTTTTGATCAACTACCAAGAGGGTTGATGAAGAACATCCACCCTTGCCAGTCACTGAAGCCGGCAGCCCGATACAAGTGGCTGAAAGGGTAGGTAGGGTTTGGATAGGACTGATAGCCGCTGTCAATGCCGAGATCTGAGCGATGTCATTCACCGACGCGGCGAGTGGATTGGTGCCTATGGCTGGGTTGCCGGAGGCTTCGAGAACTGCGGACGTAGCACCACTTTCCATCATACAGTAGGTGGTGAGTACGTATTGTTGCTGTTGTGATTGTTGTTGTTGAGGCATCTGTTCTGATACTGCTGGAGTCACAGAAGCATCCAGAGCTGCGGAGAGGATATCAAAAGTTCCCCCTTCTTCGTCTTCTACCTCCTCATCATCTTCACTTTCTTTTTCCGCCTCCGTTGTGGAAGTTTCAAGTGTGTTGGAAGCGATGGATTTATCGTCTGAGGAAGTGCAGGACGGGGAGACCAGGCGCTGAAGGGGCTGGACAGTGGCCATCTGTTTCACCGTGGTATTAGTCGTTGACGTATTAGATGGCATTTTTGCCATGGACATATGACCACTACCAGTAGGATCCACTTCCAGCGTCTGTAAATCACTTGAGTTTGGTGAAGAAAGAAGGTTTTCCGTTGAATGGACCTAAAAGCATAGAACAGTGAACTGCTGAACGATCAAAAGGTGATGAGGATTGCGCCTAATACCGACTCACTGAAGCCTGTGATGTTTCAGCTTCTTCCTCCCACTTTTCCTCCTCACTACTTCCTGCTCTGAATTCCTCCAAAACATTAGGATCTATCTGGAATGAAGAGTAAAACGAGCCCATTTCAGTTCAATGACGCTGGAAACAAATCATTACACCAAGCTGCAACTACATCTCACCGTCAATTTAGCTTTTTTCATCCAATTACTAGGATAGAATTCCGAAGTGGGATCCCCGAAAGCTAAGAGCATTTTGCCATGGTAACCATCAGTAACACCATCCATACGTTGATGTGCCCACCGCCTTCCCCACTCACCTAGGGGCTCCACAAAGGTGAGTAGGGAGAGTACGCTCTCCATTGTCACTGCGTCACCACCGTATGCATCACAAAGCTGTGCCAACTCCGCCTTCCTGAGTTTTTGAAAGAAAACCTTGTAATGCTGCCATTAAAGAGCCAACTGGGAATGTATGAACTCTGACTCACTCAAAGATGGCCAAGGGTCCATGAATCCCCATACCAACTGGTTCAGCAGGATGATAGCGTAGCTTTGATAGAGCATGCAGCGTAGCGACCTGCTGGGATGTCATCTGCTCCACCAGCCCGTGGTAGACGCCTTGCCCGGTGGACTGCGGTTTAGGCGTCAGAAGTTGCCTCAAGGCAAGAGGGTAATCAACAAGTTTTCGCTGGTCCTTTTCATTTTCTCCTTCTTCTCCGTTTTGCATCCAGGTGCTTTCACCACAAGACTTCGCGTAGATCTTACCTGGTTCACTAGTCTGTAGGAATAAGAAGTAGTACTTAACGAGGCAGGCCTTGAAACAATTGACACCAAGCTCAAAGAATGACCCAATAGGTAAACCCACCACAAGTCAATGTTTTCGATTTCATTAGATGAACAGAAGGCTCCTGATATGAATGCATAAATCTAAGGCAAATCACATTTGGTTGCAGACACTCAAAATATAAAAAGCCCTTGAAATCGCGGCAACTTGATCTTGTAATCCAACTCTCAGCGCTACACAGCCCTTAAACTTGATTGCACTACACACCCCCCATCTTTTTACTAATCGACTAGAATCAGTCACTCACATCAAGATAGACGATAGTTTGATGACCTGGCCGGCCATAGCGAGACAGAAACTTGGCTCTGGCCGCACGGGCGGCGTGTTTAACCTGAGTTATGACCTCTGCCGGGTTACTTTGATCAGTGAGGCAACATGAGAAAGTCCATGTGTCCTCGCTATAAATGCGGTCGGGAAGGGGGCTGGCAGAGGGGTGGAAACCATTCCTTCGACGTGACTTCGATGATCCCAGTGGCCGCGGCGGCGGTGTTGAGACGGAGACCTTTGTGCCCATGACCCGACGTTTAGATTTGCGATAACTACCACGAAGAGTAGAGGAGGAGATGCTTGAGGAAGTAGGAGATAGGGTGAGGGGAGCCTCTGCTAAGTCGATCTCGGTGGCTTCCAAATCGATCGTCACGACATCTGTTAAGTCGAGGGAGGGAATTTTAAGTGGAGGAGAAATTGAGAGGTTTAAGAACAGGAGAAATTTACTTACCGCTGTCGTTGCGACCGCAGGTTGATTGAGTCTTAAAAAACAAACGATACCTTCATAATGTGTTCTTAACCACAGACATTCGTTGAGCTTGTAAAAGATTGATTTACCATAAAGTGGCCAAGTGAACGAACAACAACCCTAATTTACAGGCAATTAGACTTTATGCGATCCTAAAAACACCCTAGCAACCGAAGAACATTCAACGAAAGCATACCAAAGGACTGTCCACTCGTCCGACAGAATCGTCCACCTCTGGAACTAGGAGTGGTGGACTACTGGAGTAGCGGGGTAACTTGCTAACGGAGGAAATCGAGGCGGATGAGGGTCGACGTTTTCGAACTGAAAGTGCCGGAGAGGGAGAAGATTCCGTCGCCATTCTTTCCCTTTCCTCTTCTTCATCCTCCAATAGGTCTACTTCTTCTATTTCCTCCTCTTCCTGCAGCTTGGGTGGGGTGAAGATAGTCCCTGTTGAGACTGTGGAATATCGAGCCGTAGAAGAGCTGGGCAAAAGCATAGCAAGATTATAGATCTGCGCCGAGCTAATCACAGAATTCTTTAGTTCTGCAATTTCAGGAAGCCAAAGTTCGACAATGGGGAACATTAAAAGGTTGCCTATGAGGAATAGGGGCAACCAGCCAAGCATCCCATCGCACATCACAATAATGGCTCGAATAGGGCAACTCACATTCGAGTCTAAAGCAGATTTATGGTCCCAAACAACGTTGCTCACTTAAACCGCCACAATCTGCTGCGTTTTGAGACTTGTCAACAATGTTACCTTCCGTACAGGTATGCTAACGCAGCTCCTAACAGTCTGCGAAATTCTTCCATGAAGGCGAGATTAATAATCAATGTCACCAGGAGCTAGTCATCAGCAAATGTATCGTGAGAAGAGTAGAAGTGAAATTTAAAAATCGCGCCGATCGAGGAAGAAGGAGGGAGAGAGAGGGAAGCAGCAATTATAAGACGAATTAAGACCTTAAAACTGGTTTTTAAACGACGCCCAAAATCATAAAGGAAAAAGTAGTAAAGTTGTTTCCTTCAGACTGATAGCATACCCAGATTGCGTAAAATGGTGATTTTGACTGTCCTGGCGGTAGCGATTAACTTGTTGTTGCTGATTATGGTGATGATGGTGATGATGATGGTGGTGGTGGTACTCCTCAAATTGTCCTCCGATTTCCTCATCAGTCAAAGGGCGACTCATTTTGAGGAGTTCCGCGGAGAGTTTGCGAAGATTGTGCGGCGCCATCTGCTTCTCCACAAAGGCGAGCAGCTATCATACAATCAGGACATAAGCACACAGTTAAGTAACAAGAAAGGATGTTTTCTTAGGGCAAGCACAAGAGTTAGGTAAATGTACTGCAATAAGATAAGTGATACACTAAATTCACAAAACTGGCGGGCAATCAAATGCATTTGACGCCAAAAATATGAGCTTTTCGCGATCAATTGAGCCGGAAAATGTTTGGAATGAAAAAAAAGTTCAGTAATTGTGATCAGCAGTTAACATTCAAAAGTTCTTATAAAGTAGAAACATGAGGAACACAAACAGCACATGAAGCTCACACTCCAAAAGGACCAGTAACAAAATTATCTCGGGACATAAATGGATTAAAAAAGTTGGAAAATTAGGGTAGCTAACCAAGTTAGCTAACCTTTCGGGCCTTCTGATAGTAGATCGTGTCAGGTGGGTTATAGCACATTGCATTTTCACACATTAGACGAACATCCGACGAGTACTGCCCCGCGGTCGAGTAATAATTACGTGACTCGAGGCGGGAGTGAATTGTGCCCAAATCCATTGGATGGGATATAATCTAATAATTTGAAGTTGATTTTACTTGAAGTAACTTAAAATGGAGGAGGAGAGAAAAACTGCGCTAAAAAACTTTACAGAAAAGTAGTCCGGAGCAATATCCTCGGTAACAGGATTGGCAAAAATACCCTTATGGTCACGTTTGACACAGAGTCGATGTATCTCACTCAAAACAACATAGAGCGAATAACTGGTCCTGAACGGTGGATCACTTGAAGCGCCTAGAGGAAGATCCAAAAAAATTTTACTCAAAATGATAAGTGCTGTACGCGCATTGCAAGAAGGAAAAGTTACTTTCGGGTTCTTCGTGTTCCATTTCTTGTTTTGAAAGTGAAATTTTGAATCGCAAAGAGCCCGAAGACTGTTCGGGTCGAAAATCACGGTGCTAGTAAAGCGATGTTAGTGGTAACAGTAGGCTCACCTCAGAGGACGACATTTCGTGCAAAAGTCCCTAAAGAGAACACATACCAAAAAATCTAGTTAAAAGACACAGACGAACTGAAATCAAATAGCCTTTTGCAAACATATAGTACCAACAAACTTGTTGTCTTAAAAACTCACGCAAGGACAGACAGGGTTATAGTTGATACAAGGTAGCCTTACTTAGTACATTCCAGAGAATTTGAGGGAACGCTGTCTGCAAAGAAGAGTAGTCAAAGAGTTCTATATGAAACAGTTAATTCGCACAGCTACCTGCGAATACGGGCTAGAGGCATACCTCAGGTGAGAACCATTTAGGCTAAATTGTCACAAATCAGTGCTTCATCTGATTATTGCCGACAAAAGGAAAGATTTTGTTACGCACAGATAGATTCACGCCACCTTAAAAAAGCGCAACGATTTATGTTAGAGTTTGATCAATAGGTGGTATCTGCAATCAAAAATTATTACCAGGAAGCTAAATTAGTTGACTTGTTATTATTCACAATTTTAGTTTTCGTACTAGAACATAAAGATATGCATAAACGTGTCGTACTTATCAGTTCGCTGTGACAAAGATAGGGATCCCTTGTTACAACTCGCACACACCGGTACTAAAGATCCAATTGGCTTGTACCCTCGTACTCCCGAGACAGAATTCGAATTAAGTGTGTGAGTGGCAATGAATACAGGAACACTCTCTCTTGATGAATATAACTCTTCCTTAGAGGTAATTGGTAATGTACTTAGGACTGCCAATCTTACAGATGTCTGGAAATTGGAATGCTTCCCCACCTCATCCTGCCTCGAACTTGCCTGCTACCACGACTGCCTGATCTCATCTGTTCCTGCTCGTCTTGAGTATCGCACCACGTATAGCGAGGCTTTCGCCGTACCAACGCTCTTATTTCGGGGTTCTCTGAACGACGGTAGTCAAGTTCCACTTTCTTATTTTTGGCAGCGCTTCGCTCAAGCATCTGATCATCCCGTGACTGATCTTTGGTCCGTCATTAGTCAAACCGAGCATAAGGCCACGGGAGTTCCCTACTTCTTTCTCCATCCTTGCAAAACTCGGTCACTAATGCTCGAAATTAATCCACCTACCGCTACCTCCTATCTTTCCTTCTGGCTTTCCCTCATCACTCAGCACTTCAATATTTTTATTCCCTCATCACTAGCTCTCGTTCGGCATTAACATCGTTTTATTTGCATAGAGTCCAAAGAAATAAAATTAGAAAACGTTATTTCCTTGGTACCTTCTTAGGCCTTCGACCCATTCCGTAGTGGATAGGCGTGTCGTCAGTTAACGACACAATGTTCAATCCAGACAGAGTAATTCCAGTGAGGGTAGACTAGAAAGAATATGGACGGTAAAGGAGGAGGAGTACCACTCGGTTCGAGCCGATTCCGCGCATCTTAACTCTAACATCCTTGATTCCCAATTTCTGCGCCTTCAAGCCAATGGAGATACCAACTGTCTGTGCAGCGACAGTGGTTTGTTTTCTAGCATTGTGAAATCCCTCACAGCCACAGCTAGTAGTGCAGAGGCTACGACCGTTGCAATCAGTGAGGGTGGCCTTCGTGTTATTTCGAGTGGTTGTAAGATGCACAATTGGAAGTTCGTGGTAGATACGGTCTCCGTACGTGACATGCAGATCCGCCTCACAGGGAATTCTATGTCCAAGACTTGGGGAGCCCATAAGAAAAGTAGACGCTTACACAGATAAGTCACGTTGCTTTTCGTCTGTCTGAACTTCAGAAACTGTCTCTGGGCGTAGACGGGGGGCGGTAGTGGAAATATTTGAATTGCATGCCTTCAAAACGTGCTGCTGTAAGAACAACAGTGAGGTCTGAGAAAGTGGAAACACGTAAGAAGAAAAAGTAAAGCACTGAATCAAGGGCATTCAGAGACAGGGATATCAACGCAGAACCGACAGTGTGTTGTGCCTTGAAGGTTCGCTCAGATATCGCTTCAATCTCATCATAATGCTCCTGGGAGAATATAAATATTTTACAAAACAAAAATTCTGAAGCAACCAATACTACATCCTAGAGAACATAAGCTTATAAATCAGAATAACAAAATCGCCTTATACACGAGAATATTCTGAAGTGTTGGTATTCCTATACCAAATCCTAGAAAGAAGAATTCAAGGAGAATTGCGCATGAACCGTAGTTCTGAAAGCTAAGATTGCAATGAATATGTTGCAAACATACGATAAGTTCTAGAGAGAAATAAACGTCAATTGGAATAAGAATGAAGAGTCCTAATCATTTAAAGTTTCGCATTGTATACGAATACTCATCACATGAGCTTGTTAGGTTCGAAGCAAACATATGGTTCCATACCAAATTAGCTCCATAACTAATCAAAATGCGAAATTGACCTAGCACCCGTGACATCCGAAGCGCGCGGCTAACAAGACGATTCTCAGACTGCAGTCAGTTTCAGTATGTTTAACTATGCGGAACGACAATAATTTAAAAAACCCTTATTGTTGACTTTTGCTAATTATAAATACTGTACTCCAATGTGTCTAAGAGTCGAGTGCTAGTAAAACTTGGAAATTGTATATCCACGGACCGAGGACAGCCCCAACCCCGACCTACCCTAACCTAAGGACCGCATCAACCGCCCAGTTACCCAACCCTTGCGAGCCACTAACGCTCAGATGGCCAACGTGGCCACCAACCCCGCTACCTTTGGAAACTTGGAGTCATCCCTGACCGACCGAAAGGAAACGACCCCTGAGTACTTGAAATCATCTCATGGGATGGGTCGGAATTTACTAGAATAAAAAGAGGAGTTTTCACGAGACAACATAGAAAACAATAAGATCCACTATTGCACTGAAATGTTCGCTGTTTTTGTCCTAGTCGTTACTTGAGAAAACCGCGGCTCCGCTCCCGACACCACCGCTGCTAACAGCTACGCGATGCTTTTTCGATTGCTTCTTCTTTGTTGCAGAGTTTGCAAACAACTCTCTGTAAATATCAGATCGCAAAAACCTGCAATACGATGCAGACTTCATTAGCTGAAATATCTGCTCCTCCGCCTCCTCAAAGCAATAACGATCTGCATGAGAGGCTCCAGCACCTACTGCCACTGAGACCGAGGGCGCGGTAGCGTTGAGCGATGGTGGCTCCAGCATATTTCCCTCCATTAGCGGTTCCATTCCTCCTGTCTCTTGATTCATTGATGGCAGAAGACGAAGTAGACCCAAGCGTCGAAACACTGCCTCCCGAACTTTACTATCAACATTCACGGGTTCTGGAGCTGTCAAGGAGAGATAATGTAAGTATATTGACTGAATCCTTTGAGGAAGTTCCCTCAGAGGTGCACTCTTTAGGTCCTACAGAACAAGGATGAAAAGGTTAATTTAGCGTTTAAAAGTGACGAAAAATGAGCTGCTCATACCTGACACTCCTGCCAGAACATAAGGTTCTCCGCAGCGAATTCTTTCTCCAACCAACACTGGAATTTGGCACGGCCGAGAGGATCTTTAAGGAGTTCCTGGAAAGAGAAGGACCATCGTTTCACGCGTGGTATCGAGAGTTCACCGAGTTGAACAGCACTGTTAAGGCCGCTGCTGCCAGCGCCAACGGCGATACTGGACCCCCAGTAGTTTTCAGCTGCGACTGTAACGTTGTCGGACAGCCAAGGATTACTTTGTCCCGCGAGGTCCATTTGAACTTCGCCTACTCATTGGAGAAGGGTGATTCAGCAGCTGTTTTTATCGAGTTTCTGAGAACCCGCCCAAACTCATGAATCGTTAGATTCATCTTTCCATTCAATCACACCCTTTACAACTCATTCGCTAAAAATAACCACCGCTTACTGGAAGCTCCAGTTAATGAAGAGGTGGGCGGTGGTCCAAGAATGAGATTAACTACAGCACCATGTGTAACGTTCAGGCCAGCGCTGGTCTTCCGCGGCAACAGAAGATGGTGTGCAGTTGATACAGCAGATGTACCAGCCCCAGCTCCAGCCATATCTACACCGCCGGCATTGGCTAAAGCCTTGGAAGCGCCTCCAGCCCCGCCACCACTTCCACCGCCACCTCCATCAAAGCAACTAGCAGATGTCGATGCCGTAGCACAGTAGAGCAGCATGTCAAAGTCGAAGTACTGATCACAGTAATTCTATTTCACAGTAGACACCCGTGATTATTAATTTTTCTACTAAAAACAATCATGTGAAATTTCCCACCTGAAGATTTTCAATGGCTTTCGAAGCCTTAATCCGTTTATGCTCCGAAGCTCGAAGCTTCGTAACTTTCTCTGCAGGCGAAAGACCTTCCAGTACGGAAAAAAGAAGATTTCCTGCGCTGCCACTGGCAACAGGAATGGGAAAAGTGACGGGGTGTAGCCGTCCGGCAGCCAAACCCGTCTTTTTAGGACGCTTAGCGCGGCAAAGCTTACGCATATCCACTTCTGTGGTGTTGACGCAACCCGGAGCGGGCCGATGAACGTTCCAGAAGGCTGCCTCTTGTGACTCCAACACCACACGCTCCAGTTTGTCGCGCTTTTTGTCAACTTTCATCTCAGCTTCGGCCTATAAAGAGAAAGGTTATATTGATGGTGTCGCTAATCCAATTTAGGAGTGGAACGCAGGCTATTTTTGAGGTATCAATGCGCCGTAGCATTTGGAGGATGCAATACTGACGCGAGGAAATACAATTTCAGTAGGCATTAAATATGTTGCGCGCATCAAAAAGAGACAGACTGTAAGTTTGGCTTTAATTTTGAGGAACAGCAATCCGAATCAGCTGCCTCAATAACATGCGGGAAAAGCGATGAAATAAGGCCTCTAAGATGACTACACTGTTGTCTTCACCTGTTTTATGTATACGCCAAGCATTTCAAACCCTATACCGACTGAATCCACCCCAGCCCCCGAAGGGAGACCAGAATTTCGTGGAACGAGGTGAAGGTGCTCAAGTTCGCACCAATCAAGTCTTCATTGGAAATCCCTAAATTTCTACTGTCACGCCTTATTGTCACTGTTTCATGTGACATAGACACACATTTGTGAACTTTTGTTGTAAGCTCATCTCTTATCGAAGCATTCTGAAGCATATCTTCCAACCGCTTTAAAAATTGGAGTCTTGTTGATAAAATGACGATCGGACAGACTAATGCATCGTACCTGCATGTAGATGAACTCCCATTTGTGATAGTACAGGCTCTGCAAACTGGCCAATCTCTCCGCTTCGAAATCGGCCAACTCAAGCCGGTGCTTATTCTGCATCGTGCGTTTGCACAGGTAAACTGCGTAGTCGACGGTGTCTGCCTCCACACAGCGCGAAGGATAGAGACAGGGCGCCTGGAAGCGATAGTAGGTGTGACTATCATTTTTCACTGTCATTGCATGATCATCGATAGGGAAGAGGTATCCCATTGCAGCGATTCGGCTAGCCAGATGCACAGCCTCGGCCACGTCATCGGCGCCGGCGTGCACCATGAACCAAAGTACTATATCGCTACCTATAGAGCAAGAGGGAGGAAGAGAAAAGTGATCGTCGGTAGAGCATCCGCAAGAGGAATCGGGGGAAGTTAACTCCTCCCCATTAGCTACCACTCATCCATGTTCTTGATTGTCAAAAGTTGCCATTTTCCGACTACCTATTAGACACCTTGAAGCTGGCTCTGTCGTACAGTTCTTCTTGTTAACCAATATCATACACAGTCAAGCTATGTGAGATCATGGGCAATAAAAGTGCCATTAACCACTTGAGACCGGAATGGCATGGACTCAGATGTTCTCAAGTAAATACATACACACGCGGAAGCTCAACACTACCATTCCTTAAAACAGATTCGTACATCAATTGCTTCTGTCTGCACTGCACAACACTGACCTTACCTGTCCTTAAATCTTTATTTGTCATTGGAAATAAGGCCATGCGGTTGTTGCATTTATCCAGAAGCTATTCAAAAGTCCTCTAACTTTAGCGCCCTCACGACTAATAATTTTTGATGTGTCTAACACTTATTCAATCCGTATCAGTTTTGGAAAGGAGTTTTCTATTGCTCCAACCAGTTGTGATGCATTGACGAGGTATTCCCCAGATGCAACTGCTCGGAATTCAGGAGGGAAACGATTCCCAGGCACACGAGCAAAGCTAAGCTGGTAGTTTTAAGGAATGGGATTATGAGTGTCCTCTTAGATTAGGCAACCACAATGTGTTTTTTTTGGAGATAACAATTGTCGTGCTTAAAACTTTTCTAACTCAAAGGAGTCGATCAATCAACGAGAGGCGTTTGAAAACTTTACCGAATCATTCCGACTACACCTCAAAGCGTGTATTTGGGATGTATAATAGTGAGTACAAAGACAACCAAACCATCTGCAGCACAGCAAAGAACCTGAAAAAAAAATGTAAAATGGCCTCTTTTTTGGAGAGCATGATAAAAGTCGATCTTCATAATTGCAATTCTTGTGGATGATGAGTCCTACTACGACAAATTTGAGCACGATTAATAAGTTTGCAAATCCCTGTTTGCGTTTATAAGCCTTATATGGCAATTAAGCAGTGTACAAGTTCTAAAGAATATTAAAACTCAGGAAGCAAAAACTGCAGTCTTTACTGATTGACGATAGCTGCAATTTATAATGACAAGTAGCAGACAGATGTCTTTAAAGGAATCGAAGTAAGAATTTATGATAAAATCCAACCGAAAAATGCTGAAGATACTCTGTTAGTGCAAAAATTGGAGGTCGTGCCACGAGGAAATGGTTGCCTCAAGTGAGTCGTACAAAATTTTAAACTGATTAACATGGGAAATCATGAATATCAACATCGAAAGAAAGAAAAATGTCCAACTTTGTAAAGCACAAGATTACAAATAATCACAAATTAAACAAAGCCAATTTGTACGTGACTTTACTAACCTGAGAAAACACTAGGTATAACTGACATGAAGTTTTTGACATTTCTTATGGGGATTCCTTGATCTTCTGATACCATGCATTCTACAAGCGCCTCCAAACGACGCCATAAATATTCGTTCGGGGAATCTCGTAATTCTATGGGAATGACTAGCAAAAAACAATGTTACCAAGCATTTAGTCAACGAAATAAAGTATCATTAGTCCAAGTATGCAGAGTTTCAAAGCAAAGAGTATTATTCGAACAACCAATGCATTAAACTTGCACTTCTATGCACAAAAGGAACGTTTTTTGCGCTTAAAATGAAGTAAATTCCATTAGCCAACCCGCTAGCAAAACAAGCCAGACCCCTATCACCTACTGCACTCAAAAACGCGGGGTGTCAAAAAGCAAAATGAAACATGAGATATTACAGCACTACACGCTTTAACTTGTGCAATATGCTTATACAATCAGTAATAAACCTGCAAAGTTATTTTGAATATACTTGGTTTGCCATTTTTTATTAAAAACGCTATAGTAACCAATCTTATTAATTTACTTAGACATGGTCCGAATGCCAGTTTACGTGTACAAGAGCAAAACGAATGCCCAAAAAACCGCCAAACATCATTTGTCCCGCAACCAATCTATTGCACTTTTAGGAACTGCCTGCCTACCCTCATGCTCTTGAACCACGGTCTTCAAGAGAGAGTTAGCTGCAGATGATTTATATGCCATTAGATACAGGAAGAATGGGGATTGGTGTACAGATGATCCGAATAGCAGATATAAGCAGAAGAGAGGTTCCTCAACGTCCTCACGCACCAAATTTGCGTTCGAATTCGCTTCTGCCTCTCTCTAGTTTACATTACACAGCCCCCTCTTTTAAGCGCCATCTTCTGTGTTTATCAGTAGAGTTCCTTGAGGCGGCTTCTTTTTTCTGCAAACGTACAGACTACGTCTTCGTAACCTACTGGGAGCGGACCCGTATATAGCTTAATCTTGTTATGATGTACTGTTAGAGCCTGAGTAGTGATCTCCGCATTTTAAATGAGATAATTCGTGGGCGACAGAACTTTGATTATCCGGTAGAGTTTCTTGTTCCACAGGTGGTAGAATTTCCAAGGGGTTCCTGGCGTGGGAGGGACCGGTCTATGCAAACGCACCAAATCTCCCTCATTAAGGACACTTGTTTGGCTCTGTCAATCTTAGGACCTCTTTTGCCTAGTGTATGTTTTCTTCAGCTCCCTGTGTGCGGTGTTAAACTATTTCCTGAGGTTTTTCAGTAGTCATAAGACATACTGAGGGAGCGAAATGTAGGAAGGGACTATCACTTCATGGCCCGTGAGCATCAACAAAAAGTGAGATTCCAGTCGAGATATGGGCGGACGTTCGTTAGGCGAAGAGGGTCTGTCATAGGTATAGATCCCTCCTTTAAAGGGAGGGATGTCGACCGGCGCTGCTACCAGTGTAGGAACGGCCTGCCTACCTTCATACCCTTTAACCACGGACTTCATGAGAAGGCTAGTTGCAGTAGATTTACTAGGCATCGAATACTGGAAGAAAGGGGATAGGAGTTCGGATGAACCGAATAGCAGATATTACCCGGAGGGGGATTCCTCACGGTCATCACGCATTGAATTCGCGTTCAAATTCGTTTCTCACCTCTTTCCTATAAAAGCCAACTAAAACGCCCTAGTATATATTACAGCATTGCCCCTCTCTCCTTTCGAGCTACGTCCCACACTACCCATCACAATATATTCGGCACTGTAAGAAAGCACCCACGAGCCAGATGCGTCTATCATCAATTAACATGAAACTAGGGAACGGCATCTGGTCCCTTCTGCACCTCCAACTGGATCTAAATTTACGTTCTGTCTAACAGCCAGATTCGAAGCCGCATACATCAGTTAACCATCAGTCCCTTCCACGACTAGACGGGGGAATTCTGGTAAAAAACAGATGGATTGCAGGGAAAGCGGGATCGGGTACAGTCGCGTACACAAGGACATCCGTAATACCATTTTGACACCCATACGCATATGTAGTAGGTGAAATGCTAATATAAAACTTTTCTAGACGGTTCAAGTCGGTGTCGCATCATTTGTTGATAGCTCAAACCAAAACGCAGACATCATTCCCGACCCGAGAGAATTTCAGATGGTCTCTCGCCTGAGATGAATGCGCTTTTCTGCGTCGTGGATACATGTCCCAAATGGTGGATGTCAGGATAGAAGTGGTTAAAAGTCAAATTTGCGTTCCACTGCCACCAGTTTAGCGTCCTTAAACTTCCCAAAAGGTGGAAGAAGGCATTAAATTGAATTTAAAGCGTTTGTTATATGGGAAGAAGGAGAAGAGGAGGCGTATTCAAATGGTCTGAAGGCCGTCCAACGCGTAAAATGGCCAGTCGAGGACAAACGTAACCGTCAGACATCAGATGGTCACGTTAATGAAGCCTTTTTGACGCAATGGCAAACATACATAGCTCTACATATTTCGCTGCGCATGGAAAGCCGTGGTGAATAGGGTTAGCTGATGCGAAATTGCAACAAACTTGGAATCACGTTTGTTTCGATGACATGGGCTTTCCCCTTTTATGCAATAGAATCAGTTAAAGGGAGGAAGTTAAGGGAGGTGAAATTTGTAAAATGTATGCAAATGACAGATTAATAGTTCTTGTGCGTCATAATATGTTGGTACCAAAATAAACGTTTTGTATAAGAATTTGTAATCTTTGACAAATGGATCTGACAAGCTAATCAGTGATAATGTTTTCCAATCTCACCATCACCTGTTTTATTTTTTGGTGCCATGAGAGATTCAAGGATGCTTCTTTCATCGTAGACTTCCCTTCACAATTTGTTAGACCCAAAAAATTTTCCTCCTTACGTTGAACCTATTTCAAGGTTCAACCTCCGCTTGGCTCGAAGGTCACTTGACGCGCAGAAGGGCAAATCGAATGCCAAATTAATCGCCAGACATAAGGTGGCCAAATAGACAGTATTACCTTGCCCCTCCCTCCTTTTGGGCGATAGCGTCAGCGCCCACCTTTGTGCACCTCCTGCGCCATCCACACCACATTCAGAGCCATGTGGAAACGCTTACTAGCCAGCCGTGGTAGCCACAAGCTATCAAGCTTCAAGTGTATGTGGATCTGCGTTCCGTATGAGGGCACAATTCGTAGAGAGGAATTATCGTTGGCCATGAAGGGCGTCAAGGACTAGACGTTGGTACACTAGTCAAAAACAGATGTTTAACAGGAAAGACGGGAAGAGAGTCCGAAGTAGTGCCATTTCCGAGACCTTTACGTTGGTGTAGTATTGAGAATTCCGATATAAAAACTTTTCCGAATGGTTCACGTTGGTGTCGCTTCGTTTGGCAATAGCTTCTCTGTGGAGCGCACAGACAATGTGGAGCTAAACACTGGACTTCCGACGACCTCTTGTCAGATGCAAATGCGCTTACTTTGCACCGCAAATGTGCTATAAACGGTGGGTACCGGGGTAGAAGTTATTGAAAATTCCGGACCGCCTTCCTCTGCCATCAATGTAGTCCCAAGACTTCCTACCAGGTAGAAGAAGGCACCACTTTAGGCAGAATGCATGTGGTCTGGAAGGCGAAGAAGGGAAAGGGCTCTGACTCTGTTCACAGACCAGCCCACGCATGCAAGGTTCCGACGGATACCAAAGTAACCGCCAAATACCAGATGGTCACATAAACAAAGCATTGCGCTCTGTGTTCACATGTCTCTTTACATACCGAAAATTCGAATTATTATCGATGTTTTTCATGTAAAAGTATTTTTTGAACAAATAGCTGAAGCTATTTCTCTTTCTTCTCCTACATGTTAGGTCACTTGAAAACCTAAAAATGTATTATTGGCTGTTATATTTCCTAATTACTGTGCAAGTGCGGTTCTGCGTCAGGTAGCGGCAAACGAGGTCGACATTAAGTCCTCAGAAATGATGTCATTTGCAAAAACAAGTGCCTCTGAAGTAGAGGCAGGGTGTGACTACCAAACTAGTTGGATTTCAAGGGTGTGGCTAGTATCATTAACAGATTTTGTGTGTAGCTTGTAAGACATATGGTCGTGGGATTTTGACGACCGTTGATGGCATATTTATCTGTCTCTTGGACTGTAATCATTGAGCAGAGAAGACACCTGAAAGAACTTTAACATAGCATTTTACGTTTGCGGATATCAAGGACAGAAATATTATCTTTTACTGGTCAAGTTCTAATACTAACTTATTTTTCGAAGTGGGTATTGCAAACTTAGAGTCCCGTAGTCAAAATCCTTTTAACATATATAGTGGTAAAAGCCTGCCTGGAAGTGGAATATCTGCCTATGAGAGCCTTTTGTCGGAATTGTGTCTCTGTGCCATTAATGACTGCCCATCACAATGAGTAAGAACACTTTCGAAGTGGGAAGGCCGTGCCCTCCTCCGTATGATATCAGTCCATCCTTAAGTGAATTTTCAGCATCCTCCACAACTAAAACGGTAAGCAGCATTTGACTTAGAAAAAGTAAATTGTAGCCTATGGAAAAGTTTTGTGACAGGTGTCTTAGTGTAGACAAAAACACTTGACTAATGGATAACCGAACTACCGAAAATAAACTAATATGCCTTCTAACCCCTCAAGGGGAGAGAAGAGGACCTTCTTGGGAACCTGCTCCTTTCTTGAGGGCTATGCATTACGGACATCAGCCATTTTGAGTTGGAGTAGAAGAGGAGTTGGCGAAAAGGTTTGCTGAGATATTGGCGATACAGTCAGTCCATCGCCTCAGAAGGCGATGCAAGCCATGCACTCAAGACCTCACTTTTCCTACTATAGCGAAGAAGGGTTGAACTGATGCCAGAACTCCCAAGGAAAGCAGTCTCGAACTACTCCACTGACAACTGAAGCCAGCAGTAAGCATGTGGGCATCTGAACACTTTCAAAAGTATCCTTCACCCTCCCTCCTAATCGAAACCGGTGTTTCACTTGTGTGAAGAAACTTCACTTGCAGAGTTCTTAAGGCATACTCAAATTTCCACGTACATTATACCTCTCGATCACTCAACGACTTGTTTAATGCATCCCGAAATTGACCTCAATCTTAAAAAAAAGGCCATAAAGAGTCTTCATAAGTGGGTTTTCTCATAAAAACCACTATCAAATGATAATAAAGCCCTCATTTTTTGACTGTTGTAAATATTACTATGAATGAGGAAAAAAAATGTAATTCAAATAATGAAATCCAATCAGTGCATCCCCTTTTCCCCATGCCAACCGTCAACTTCTCCTATCAGGCTTTAGAATGGCAGATGGAAATGATTTGACAGCAGCTTAAGGTAACGTTTTCTGACCTAAGCGCTGACAAAGCAGTTGCGTTTTTTTCACCTGCATTGACGTTGTCATTCTCAACAGTTGTTTCAAAATTGACCGTCGACGTCGTACACGGCAACGCAATCCTCAAAATTAGAAACGATCCAGTGTTTGATTTGGGAGCAGGATAGGCCAATGAAGAAAATCACTTAGTCCATCATTCATGCTTAGTTTTTATAATCCCTTTGTTAAAGCTTGGCATTGGAAGTGGTTGGATGAACATCGCCCTTCAGAGGGTAGATTGTCCCCTCGACGACCTTGGACTAACCAATAAAATTGTTACTTTCCTTAATCGTAGCTCGGAGCCCTTTCAGTGCAAGTTAATAGTGAGTTGTACGAATGCAGAGGCACTTTATGCCTCGTGAACCACCTTATTTGGTGTTAAAAAAGAAACTGTCGGGCGGATGGACTGAGGAAAGTCAAGCAGGCCGTAGTTTGATGATCCATAGTATACATTTCATGAATCCTGTGAGCTCAGCGATCTTTGGCAAAGCACAATAACAACCACACCCATAAATGGGCTCTCAAGCAAAGGCTGTATCACGAGTCAAAAGGGTGTGTTTGTTGGCTTGCAAACGCTTCCACTGGCCTCCAATGCCTTCACTGTCGCACTTTTTCCCCAATGCTAAATGATGCTCTCTGTGGTGGACATGCCATTTCTTTCGGTGTTCGTGATTTGACATCCTAGTGACGTGGGCCTCCCCACACTCACCACTCACCACTCACCTTTGTCATTTTAACTTGGAATTGCTGGAGTGGTTCAAAGGTGGATTCTTAGTTGGAGCCTCCCATCTCCTTAAAAAATGATTCGTCAATCACCACTTACGTCATTCAAAGTGATATGCAAACGCTACTTTACCAGTTCTAAGCTCTTCTTTCAGCCTAATAGTACTGCCTTGTTCCTGGAAAAATTGACTATCGTTACAACTTATGGTTCTGAGAAATCCAACCTTAACTTTTGAGTCCTCTGGAGCTCCTTAATTCTCGTTTTGACGTGATGCTCCGAATGCTCCCCCTTTGCGATCAGTGGCAAGCGATGTGACAAATGAAATCAGCGTTTTAGAAAATTGTTGCATAACTTCAAGACTTTTCTTGTCCTAAAAAAACAAAAATGGAGTGACAGCTGTGAAGTCACCTCCTAAAGTGCGTCTGCTAATCACATGCCATAACAAAGCACAAGGACTTAAAAATGACGGCAGAAATGTAGACGGAAATGGGAAAGGCCAATGTCCTCTTCGCAACGTAGTCCGCATACAGTCGTCAAAAGGTAGTTTCTTGTTCCTCTGCATCGCGTCAATCAGAGTTTGATGCCTTTAGAATGGAAAGTTTTTTGAAGCAAGAACCCACTTGTTTGGTGACGTGGGAGCAGTACATACACACCCAGATGGAGAGGGAGAGAGAGCGAGCGAGAGAAAGAGAGACAGCTCATAGCGTACCACAATGCACAAAAAACCCAACAAATGAAATTGTAAATTTTCCATAAGACAAAGTAGATATGAATGAATTTTGCCTGTTCGAAGGCAATTATCTTGACCGTGAATCTTCTACCGCTCGTCTTCACAAGAGTCGCATGGGTGCCATGTCAAAGGGAATCGCTTCGGTATTTTGATATGAGAGACGAAAAGTGATTAAACAACATGAGAGTTTTTTTTCTCGACCCTTTTTAGACATTGCCATCTATTTATATCTATCAAATGTAGCGGTCTTTCTATTTACTTTGGAAGCGTCGTGACTCATCTCCACCTTCACTCCCATCCATCCCTCACTTGTAGTTTAGGACAACCAGCAAAGGTTATAGCAAAGGAATTTATATTTGTAAGTAGCAGGGAATAGAAAATAGACAACATGATGGAAGCTCAAGGTCGACTTCTCTTCTCTAGCATGGCCTTTTAGGCAAAGAAGGCCCATATGAAGATGGTAATAATGACAGCAGTACAGGCGGCTGTGTTGACAAGAAGCCTTTGTTTGGGATCTTCTTCAATGCTAGTCTCGCGTTTCTTCATTTCAATCAACTCCTCAGCCTCCTCCTCCGTAAAGACGGGTTCGCGTCGATCTTGCATAGTCTCAATACCGCACATCCAATTGATCGCCTTCTTATACCAGGGCAGCACTGGCTTCATCTCCTCACCCTCAGCTAGCCATTCCGCCTTCTCCTCCTCACTCACGATGGTCACCTTTGGAGCATCCAACTCGGGATCGAAGGGAGAATGGCGGTCAGAGAAAATAAGTCGTCGAGTCTGGACGAATGAGAGGAGCATTAACAGTTCGGTCACCGTTGTAATGGACTTAAGAGAACATTAGGGACTTACGTAGCTTGGAGGAAGTGGAGGTGTAACCAAAGTTGCTACAACAATTACAACTGAGGAGATGAAAAAGAGGAGAATAGAGAAGTGGAGGTAATGCATGGTGACGAGGAAATAGGGTGGGTTTGTGATCACTTCACCGCATGGAGAAGCGCCGTATGAGATCTCCCAAGCGAATCGTATCACACCGATTATGAGACCGATGATCAGAGCGCAGAATACACCCTGGACAAGAGCATTCCCAAAACGGAACGGTGGTTATTTGGAGGGGTCAGAAGTGGGTCGAAAGAGAGTAAGAGCATCAAGGAACTCACAATCTCATTGGTGCGATGCCAAAAGACGGCGAAGACGTAGGTAGCGCAAATGGGAGGCGCCAAGTAACCCGTGACTGACTGGATGTAGTTGAATAGTTCATCACTCAGCTGAACAATCGGAATCCAAGCTAAGCTTATTGCGACCAGTATAAGAACAACCACACTGCAAGGAAGATAAAAAAAGCTTTCTCAAATCCCTTCTCTCATCAATGTAACAGAGAGAATGTACTCAATTTACCCACCGTCCAACAATCATAAGCTCCGCATCTTTGCAATGAGGGCGGATGAGTCTCCAAATATCCACAGTGAAAATGGTGGAGGAGGAATTGAAAATGGACGTCAAACTGGAGACCAATGAGGCCATCATGACCGAAAGCATGAGACCTCGAGCTCCAGAGGGTAGCAAATTCAAAACCAATGATGGATAGGCGATATCTGTACATCCAGCAACCTTACTGCAGATTTTTTCACAGAGGTTTGCATCTCCACAGGCCACAGTATCTAAAAGCAAGAAAATGTCGCTAGAAAAGAAGTCTAAAAGGTGCAAAAATGATTTAGTAGGTGCAAAACTCACCAGCAAAGAGGATTCGAGCAGCCATTCCAGGAATAACCATAAGCCAGAGAGGCAACATCTTGATGAACATGGCGAGGACAATTCCAGCTTTGGCATGAACCATGTTCTTGGCGGCGAGACAACGTTGGACGATGACTTGATCGGTACACCAATACCAGGTGGCATTGATTGTTAGACCAAATATGGCTCCGACCCATGGCAAATCCTTGCTGTTAATAGACTTGAAGAATTGCAATGCGTCCGATGGAGGAATACTGCATTCAGCAAAGACACCAAGAGATTGGCCCTCTGGATTTGCAGCCAGGAGAATTATGTTACGATCGGTATCAGTGCCGTAGAGATCAGGTGAATAGCCGGCGACATTGTTTGACGTAGAGAAAGTAGTACTTCTGTATGCCCTTGTTGTGTTTGGAATAGCATTAAAATAGTTCACCACCAAACTGTCAAACCCACCAGTCACTTGGAAACCTAAGAGAATCAAAAGATTACAAATAAGGTTACCAACGCACCCCGACGTGGTCGATATACTGCAAGCATAAGTCTTACTTCGGATTGAGAGATACAAAGCACCAGCAATCATGATAAGAACTTGGGCGAAATCTGTCCAAATGACAGCCGTTAAGCCACCTAAAAGAAGAAAACGCTACTGTGACTCTTTCATAATTCCAAAATAAAAGAAAATTACACACAAATAAGAGTTAGAACCTACCCATAATAGTGAAAAGGGCTGCAATGACGAGAAGAATAATGGCAGCAGGATAGATAGAAATCTCCATAGCTTGTTGAATGAACACAGCACCAGCGTATAGATCAGCAGAAATTTTGGTGAAGATATAGAGGAGGAGAGCAATGACGGCGAGATAGACACGAATACGTTGACCACCGAAACGATGCCGCAGGTATTCGGGCATTGTTAAGATCTAATTAAAAATGTTAATGCCTACTGGGAACATACTCCAGAAGCAACATAGACAGGCAAAAAGAGCCACCCCAAGAACCCCAGTGTGATAGCAGCGTTGTACTCGAACACAGCTATGCCGATTCCTGAAGAAGCCCCCGAACCGGCGAGACCAATGAAGTGACCGGAACCAATGTTGCTGGCAAACAAAGAGGCGCCGACTGGAATCCAAGTCATGGAGCGGCCAGCCAGGAAGTAGCCGCCAACTGAGCCACGATTCCTCAGTGAAGACTAAGCATATTGAGGCATGGATTAGAGGGTAAATTATCGACGAACATACCCAAATACCAACGGCGAACACAATAACAAAGTAAGCTACAATGACACCAATGTCAGCGCCATCAAGGTACCCTATAATGGGGCTCATCTTTTCCCTTATTGCGTCTAAGCATCCAGCTCATCCGCAATCCCTTTTATCTGCGCACTTATACAAAGTGCGTGGGCAGGATCTTGGTTAGGCTTACTTATTGATTCAAACACGTTTAGGTCCTTCAGAAAATAGAGTTTCGTAGCAAAAATAAATGCTAAGTTCACCTATGATATTTATCAATGCATATCTTTTACGGTCATTTGGAAGTATATTGCGTAAAGCGAAGAAATGGAGATGCTTGGCCGAACTACCGTGCTTATAGGCAGTTAATAAATATGTAGTTAGGCAACACAAGGCAAACCTGCAAAATGAAGTGTAGTAAATAGTTAAGAAAAAAGTTTTCGCCATGTGCTGATTATCGAAAACGCATCTTTTTACAGGCAAAGTTTGTGTGAATATGGAAAGTTGATTTTCTGTAACCTGAAACGAAATACTCTCTGGGGCCGTAGCAAATCAAAGTCCTTCACAACTTACGACGTACAGTAGAAGTTTCGATATCTTACTGCAAAGGAGAAGAAAATTAGGCTTGTAATTTCCAAACGCTCTGCGCAGTCTAACAAAGGACAATACAGCAAATATAATTGTTTTGAGGGCATATTTAGCGTTTCGCGCCTTTCCACTAGATGGGAGGAAGCATAGCGTTGGACGAAATGTGTGTGTTCTAGGAACAGAAGGGATTTGGAGTTGGCTTCATCAGACTGCCAGCCTAAGGGCATAAAAGCAAAAAATACCAACGTGATTGCCAAACATTTGGTGATACCATGAACAAGACTGCGGTACTCTTTATGTGACCACCTGATGTCTGGGAGTTACTTCAAGATTTGTCTGATCTTGTACGCGTGACCTGGTCTTTGGGCCAAGCCCAGACCCAATCCCCTTGTTCTCGCTGGAAGACATTTTATCAGCTCCATTTAATGTCTTCCTACACTCTGTGGGAAGTCTAGGGACGCTGCTGAAGTATTTCACGCTTTAGCTCGAAATGTATTCAAATTATAATGCAGTCACCTAGTTAGACACAATTTTACATACAATTTTCCTTTGCATCCCATAAATCTTAGTAAAAGCTGACAAGCGTATATGAAGTGTTAACCTATACAAATGTATTTTATAGTATCTACTTATGCATGTAACTTCTAAGTGCCATTCTCTGGAGCTGCAAGCCAGGTCGAGATGTACACTGATGGTTAGCAACTACTATGTCTATCCACCCTGCAACTCTTCGTGGGGTACAAAATTTGATGCTGAGGTGTTGCGACATCCCCTCAGCCTCCTGAGACTACTCATAGAGTGGAAGAAGGCAGTAAGTGAGGCTGGATATATGCATTCCGAAGGAAACAGAGCAAATGCTCCTGAGCATTGCCCGAAGGCCAGCCCACGAGTACTAGACAAGATAACTCTTAAAGTTACCACCGAACGTCAGGTAGTCACATGAACAATGCATTACATCAAGTATGCGGAAAGAACATTCTAAATGTGATATTAACAAACCCATAAATTTTTGCAGTTGCCAGAAAATGGGAATGTTTGATGCAAAAGGAGGTGATATTAGTTAAAAACTTCGTGACAGCTGCAGTCATTACGATGATGCTGTATGTGCACGTGACAAGTACATAAATTCACCTTTCTTCGACCCCCACCATGCGAATGAATGAATGCCATTACGTAAAGAGACAGTATTTGTCGGCGATACTTCCAGATAAAAGATGAATGCATTCGAGGCACAGCTACCCAGAAAACTCCACCCATGACAAGTGGCGAACTGCCATTTCGAAACGGGTGCAGAACTAACTTTCTACGGTATTATAAAGGTTAGGGGCTGGCAGAGGGCTCTTCACTGCTTGTGCATGTTTCCCCTCGAATAACGGCAGAATCCGCCGAATGCGTTTCAAGCAAATATCCGTGCCATTCGTCTTCCATCTTTCCGTAGCACTTTTTTTGCATCCATCTCTGTTGGAAATGGGACTTCCGCAGCATACGCTCATGCTTTGGCCTTTTTTACAGAGGGGTGGGAACAGATGGGTGTGTGTGTGTGAGCGCAAACGCCAAACTCACGTGGGATCTAGAACTTTTTTCCAACTGGAACTCATGATGTTACAATCTCTAACATGGTGGCCACCTTGAGCTACTTTACTATTTTTTCGCGATAAATGACTCCTCATAGTTGCCAGAATGAATGCTGAGGCTGATAGCGCAGCATTGCCAAAATTCGAAAGCAGATCAGGGCTGAGCGTGCATTTGGTGTAGAAGAAAGAAGAGGAGGAAGAAGAGCCAAAAGTGGCTTCAGCAGACAATAATCTGGTGGAAGGAGCAACACTAGATGAGGATGGAGGGGGCGCCATCGTGAGTCTACCCCTCACAGCCCAAATAAAAAAGCGGTAGTCGAATACACCTCGGATAAATGAGGAAGCGATTCCCGTTATTATTGCATCCGATACGCACTTGAACAAGGAGCCTACGATGTGAATCAATTGGCTGGATTCTGTCACATTTCTTAAGCACGGTAAAACAGGGGAACCTGGAAAGTTTCGTAAAGGCCTTCTCCTTGTTCAAGTACACCAACAACTCACGCCAATTCAACAGACACAAATTCATTAAATTTCCTTGTAATGAGGTTATTCTGTCAGTCAAGAAGGAGCATATAAAATTACACCTTGTTTTTTCGTCATTTTTCATCCCAAATGTCAATTTTGAAGTGGACCACATGACTACCTGATTTCAGGTGCAGTTTGATCCGCACTCTTCCCTCAACTCAAAATGCATTTTTTACTATGCACCTTGAAAAGCTTTTGCTATCTGTAGGATCTGAAATCACTTCCGGCCACTTTCCCCAGGAAAAGGTGTTAGACAAACGTATCTTGTTCAAAGAAAACTACTGGCAACCTAGTTTTATTGAAACAGATGTATCTCTCACCAGCAGCTTGTTTGTGGATAACTCAAAATTGGACCGACATTCAGTCAAACTGAAAGTTGATGCAAGAGGCGAGCCCGTAAATATGACGCGATGACATTCCGACTGGCGTATAGCAAGCGCCGCCATTATGAATGACAGCCTCCATACTAGTTAAGCCTTTTAATCGCCACTGATGAAACGTTAAAGTGAACAGCCGACGTCTGTACGTGGATAACCAAAAAGGTGCACGGTAAGCCTTCGAAATGGATATTTCGGAAAGTATCAAGGGCAGTATGGTGCAACTCTACCTCTGATAAGTCGCACGAATTTGTTCGGACCATCATAAGCGCAGATCAATTTCAGAACAATACAAAATTGGAGGAAACACTACCTAAAAACAACGCCCAATACCTTCCATTTTATAACATCATATCCAGTTCGAAGATTCCAAGACATTAAGGGAATGCGCTCAATGCTTCAAGTGTTCCAGCCAGAGTGGAAGCTGTGCGCCCAATGGAGCCTTGTAAACTCACGAGAAACCTCTCAGACTGTGAGTAATACTGGGGCGATGAGTCCACTTTTGGAGAATTTCGAAGCCCACTAGTTTGTACTGTGCCTTCAAACACTTTGTCCGCATTAAAATGCTACAGAATTAACTTTTACTAGGTAGTATTGGTGACTTCACCGACACATCTCACGAAAAAACCCAGAGTTAAGCGACAAACTGCAACGAATGAAGTTACGACAAATTATTCACATAAGAAGGGGGTTTAAAACAACCATTAAAACGTAAACGAAACCTGTCAAAGATTTTTTAAAAGGCCTTGATACAGAAATTACATTTCTATGGTTAAAAACTTGAAAAGTAAGCGCATTTATGAATATATTTAGTTGTTCAAAAAATTTCACCACCATGATTAACATAACTTTAACGTCAGAATCATTTTTAAAAATGAAACGATAACAGAACACGTATGCACGGTGGCCTAACTAGAAGTATAATTTATCCCCAAACCAAAGCCTTTCGACGAGTCATCGTTTGGTCAAGCTAGAGAAGAGACTCATGCTGTAGCTGTAGCGTCTCCAGACTTCCTGGGCGATATAAGAAGTCAGTAAATGCAGCTGGATACATGTATTATGAAGACGACGGGACACATTCGGTACTACAAGAAAGCACCCACGAGCCAACCGCTCCAGTCGACAGATAGCATGAGACTATGGAACCGTACCTGGTCTCCTCGGCAGCTTCAATTGCATCCAGGCATAGACAGTGGTACTCTGGTCTAAAACAAATATGTTACAGGGAAAACGGGATGAGCCACTGTCCCTTATGTAAGGGGAACCGTAGTGTCATTTCTGACACCTAAACACAGATTTTGTGCGGGAAACTGCGACACTACAATTTTCCAGATAGTTCACGGTGGTATTGCTCCAGTTGTTAACACCTTGTCTGTGGAACACGGAAAGAAGGTGAAACCAAATGCAGACGTCCTTCTAAATCCTTTCCTTGGAAGGATTCAGGGTATTCTCCGTCACAAAGGCAAATGTGCCCCTTCAATTCACGCCTCCTTTTCGCCTAAATCTTCATCTATTGCATTTCGATAAAGTCCGACTTCCTTCTACGCATGTATAGCTCATGATTGCTGGTGCGCAACGTTAAAATGCCCTTATTAGTCTTGGATTTCTCCACTAAAGCGTGGAATTCCCTTGCAGTCCTGTCTGCTGGTTGGATCACAAACTTCTAGTCGTGAAAGGAGAGGTTTCGAATCTCCGGCCAGGAGAACCCGATTCTGGGGTCCAACAGATTACCAGGATCATGGATGCGACATACATCCCCAGATCCTGTGCAAGTTGTAGGTGCTGAAGCACTGCATCATCCGATCGAAGCATTGCTCGTCGGCTTGTTCGTACTGTTCATTTCCGGAAATCAGTCGAATAATCGGCACAGTTTAGCAACAGCGGTGTTAGTTGGCCAATAGATTTTGCCGGACACTATGTCGCTTTTAACAAATGACCAACGAAGAACAAGCCACAGAGAGGTACCCCATCTCGGCTGGAGCAGAAGGTCTTCGAAAGCACTTTATACGGAAAAGTCGTTAAAAACGTTGGTGTCGCTTTCCGCTGCAGCCGGTATAAGAAGTCAGTAAGTGTAGTTGGATATCTGTAGTTCGAAGACGACAGGACGAATGGCCCTTGGCATGGCTAGAAGGCCAGCCCATGTGTACAAGGGCCAGACATATCGCAAAGTGACCACCAAACGTCATGTGGTCGCATAAACAAAGTATTCAGTAGCAACCCGGGACTTCCTATAGGGTGGAAGAAGGCAGTAAGTGTGGCTGGCTAGTTGTATTCCGAAGAGGGCAGGACGAATGGTTCAGAGCATGGTCCGAAGGCCAGCCCAAGAGAACAAGGGCCAGACAAATCCCAAAGTGACCCATTAATCGGAACTTTATTGTTGTTTTAGTGTCTTGTCCTAAGTACTGTTTGTAGCTATAATATATACTAGTGTGCTCATGTTTGCTTTTATGGAGCGAAGGAGAGAAATCAGTTCGAACCCGAACCCAGTGCGTGGAAAGTGTTATGTTTCCTTTCCAGGTTGACAAACTCCCTTCCGGCGCATCTGCCCTCCCCACTTTCGTTCTTTAGGTACAAGCTGCCAAAAAAGGTTCCTCAATTAACCCTCTCCTGTAGTTCTGAGGGTAGACAGGCAGACATTACAGCAGCGTTTTGGCTGAATGCATGTGTTGCAGAGAGAACAAAGAGATTAGGCCCGAGGTCTGCCCAAAGGCCAGCCCATGCGTACAAGGACTCAAAGGATGCCAAAGCAACACCCTGACATTGATTGGCTGCATAAGTAAAGGACTACACTATTTATGATCAAATTATTTTTTCGATGGTGTTTCATGTCGAAGGCACATTTCTTTAGTCACATATAAGCAGTTGACTAACACAAATGAGTAGTGGACGCTTAATGTCGGCACCGAATGC